CGTAGCAATGAAAATGATGGAGAATCACCAAAAGTTATTCGAATCAACGGGAGCGTTCATATTAAAGAAATCAAAAATCTTCAATCAGTGAATGAATTGATCTTGCAGAATATTTGGACATGGTAACTACTATTTACATTCTTTAATAACAACCATTAATTTTACGTTTATTGGCAATGATTTGTAGGTTGTTCTCAAAGACTCAAACAAACAAATGGTGGTCGTAAGATATTTACAGCGCCGTGACAATATTAGAAGAACTAACAGCTCCTGAAATATCTGGTGTAATTTATACGATTTATATAACTATGGTCTTACTAAATCCACAAGTCAAAATATTACTGGGCATTACGAAATTTTAAACATCAAAACAGGTATTAATGTTTAAAATTATATACTGATTTTTTTTTTGTTATTCCTTCTTGGATTATTGCATAACTCGGCATGATGATAGATTTGGTGGTAAAAAACGGAGGCAAAAGAAAAGCGAACGTCATTCTGATTACCAAAGATATCATCATACCAGGTTCAATTAAAATCCAAGACTAGCAACGGAAGATGTCTACTTGTGACACTCAACTATGCACCTTTTTTCAGATAATTTATTCGCAAATTATGTGAATATATAAATACGGAGCAGCAATTAATCGATATTTCCATTTCTAATGAAATCAATTCTCCGGTTTGGTTCAAATCACCTTTAAGTGTGCAAAATATGATATGGAACAGCCAATGTTTTGTGAATAGTTCAAATTTATACGAAATGCCAAATAAGAAATGGAAGTTGATGTACATCCAAAACCAACTTCAACATCCAGAGTTGACCAAAGTTCTTGAAAATATAGTAGAAAATGCTGTTACTGATGGATTTGCTAAAAATATTACTGGAAAAGTATACCACGATTCATAGTGTTGCTTTTATACTTCCAAAGTATATTTGTTTTATTGTTTTAGGTGAGATTTACAGGAGCAGTTACGTTCGACAACATCATAACAACTAATTACATAAATAACGTAAACTTGGATTATATTGCGCAAGACGCTTTATTCAAACATTCCTCAGACGTTTGTATAACTTTATTTTTTCAGGCATTGAAAATCATTATTATATTATTTCTTTTGTGTGCAGGTTAAGCACATTAGCTGTTCCAAAACTTTTATTAGCCCTACAGTATTGTCACAAGGTGAAGTATTGGGTGACTTTGATGCATTTATCATCAATGGTGTTAAAATCGATGAATTGAATGAAAGTCTTGTTTGGAAAAATGAAGATGCTGTCATAACAGGCAGCAAGATTTTGAAACAAAACGTGTTTGTTGACGATTTGATAGTAAGATTCATCATCCTTTCAATAAAACAGAAACGTATCCTTCGTCCTATTTATTGGTGATTTCTTTTCTAGGTTGAAGGTTTGGTCAATAGTGTTGCAGTAAATGATGTGGTTTTCTTCGAAAATGATCGTCCAATTCCTAATATTGTATTCAATACTTTGCATATAAAAGATAATTTGCAAGTACAGGATATAAATGGGCGTAATTTGGATGAATTTTTGTCTAAAAGAGTACGTTTACGAGGCGATGCCCAAAATGTATCAGCACACGTCCAATTCGCAAAATTAAATATAGCAGGTATTTAAAATAGCACCAAAACAAAAATATATGTAATTAAAACATTTAGTTAAATATTTTAATCCCCAGGGCCTTCTTTTGTGTCAAAAATAAACAATATATCTTTGGATGAAGTCGTTTTTACTGATGTAGCAACGTCGGACACCATTACTGGAATGAAAGTGTTCGAGAAGGGTTTAAAAGTCTATGGAGATATTTCCGCAAAATTTCTGAACGATTTTCATTTGCAAACTACGTATTCCAATAGTATTAGGAAAAATAAAGATTATTATATATCACATGTGGTAAATATTAAACCAGCAACATACCAATTTTCATCTAGTAGCTTCTTTCATTGTATAAATGTGTTAACTTTTTATAGGTATTTAATAATCCAGTACAGCTATTAAATGGCTTATATGCTCATGCCTATGAGAATCAAACCTGGTTAAACTTCTACGCGAAACCTTTCCTGGACAATACATTTGCCCAAGAGATGGACACGAAATTAAATTACACCTTCAACAGCATTAAACGTGAGAGTCTGAAGTTTAATAATTTCGAAAAATGCAAATATAATTTTTAATACTATTCACAGCGTATTATCATTATTTGTACTTGGAGCCATCAGAAATACGGATACTAGAACCGCCATCCAAAAAAGTCGAGACTATCAGGCCAGGATTTTTACAACTTTCGAATGATGTATCAGGAGAAGTCTGTTATTTGCCACAATTTTGTCCTTGCTCTGTACAATACACAGTTAGTCATAAAATTATACAACATATTACAAACATTATTAAATGTTCATTTACTTTATTCATATTTTTGTAGGTAGATATACCAAATCAGCGTTCTATCTCTATTTTGCCTGGAAATGCTACACACAGAGTATTTTCCTATCATGATGATGGTATAGGTATCAATATTTTTACGAATTCAATTAGCACGAGTGCATTTTGCAGGTAAGGCAATATTTAACATTTAAAACTTAACAAAATTTACACGAAAGCTAGTTTTAATCTTTGTTTCCAGTACTGCTAATGAAGAATTAACTTACGTTACTTGGATGGAACCACAACGCGAAACACCTGACAGTACACCTATAGGTATGTATTCAACCTTATTCACTAAAATTTGACCAAATCTGGTTAAAATGAAATTATTTCTGCACACAGGTGATATTACTATTGACCAAAAATATTACAATGGATATTTGAGTGATGCAAAATTCTTCAGAGATCGTAGTAGTCGTATATTTCTCGTACTGGCAATGTATTATGATAAATCATCTGATTCTCATGATATCGATTCCTTGTTACTCGAATTGAACATGACAACGGTAAGTGATAATATCGATTTAACAAAAATCCTTTTAGAAGTTTAGTTTACCAAATTAGATGCTCTGATTGTGAATTTACATACATAGGTAAAACTTGACGAAAACACCTTCATCAAAACCAAAATAATTATAAAAATAGCAGTAAGCAATGTAGAACTATAATGACCGAGCACATTAACGATTTAAATCACACATGATTTTTTTAAACTCAAATACTTCATATTTTGGAGGAAATCTGTTTAGGCGACGTTTTGCTGTCATTCAATTATATGTTAATTAATCAATTTTAATTTTATTTTAATTAGAGGGAAACACACATAGTTCAGTATATTTCAACAAGATCTGCAACGACCTTAGAACTTCTGCAGAGTCCTTTTGGGACACATCTTGTAATCTGCAACGCTGTGCAAAATGAGGACATTCAAGCATATTTTGAAATAATGAAATACGACCAAGAAAACTATCAGGTAAACATTTTTTGGTGAAAATGATCCATCATGATAATTTTTATTAATCAATTACAATTTCAGTTCAAACCAGTACGTACAGTTTCGACAGAAGGTTGTGGCTTGATGGCTAGCGCAGTTTTTGGAAAAGAGCAATTTATTTTTGTGGGCGACGAGAATTATAAAATTCTTAGAATTAATCGTTACATAGAACAGCTGGATATGTTCCATTATTTCCAGAGCTTTATATATGAGTCATATTTGCGTGGATTGCATATTTTCTACCCTCAAAGTAAAAAAAGCCTAACTAAATATACTATTAAATTCAGCATTAAATAATAATACTCTTGTTTTATAATTTCAGATTCCAAAAAAGGTGAAGTATTATTATGTGTGACCACAGATAATGGAAACTTTTATATTTATGATTATACATACATTGAGGTAAGTTAGAAAATTCAAATACAATCATTACGAAATTCCGTAAACTTAATCCTTTCTCATTTTATTTTAGGGTTGGAAGCAAATATCAACAGGATATCTAAGAAATGTCCATGATGTTACACACTTCCAATTAAATCATGAAGAATTTCTGTTCATGTCATCCACATACAAAAATATGGTCTTCAGGATAATCAGACAAGGAATACCTTAAGTATCATTAGAAAAAACTAGCATGTAAATTTAATATATATTAAATGTAATTTTAAATACCCATTGCTACAAATGTAAATCCATAAGTAATAACAAAAATATAAATATTACACTATATTTTCCTAAAAAACTATATTTAGCAATAAACAACAACAGCCACCATTAACAATTCTTTGGAAGTAAAACTACAATTTTATAATAAATTGCAACCTGCACCGCAACTAAGTTGTAGTACTTTTGTATAAAGTTCATTACTATATAATTAAATTCTAATTAATAATTACAACCTGCGTTATTGCAATTGATGCTAATAATATTTCCAATCAGAATATTAGAAATGTGTATATTATGAGAGCATTGTTGACCATCTAATTATGAAAGTATTATATACAAAATATATAAACTAAATTTATTTAAAATAATTTGTTCACAGTTTCGGCATATTTACTTCAAATGAAATGCATATTTATAGTATCAAATACTTTTTTGCATCTCATAAGTATACAAAACAAACTCTAGTATATTATAATTTTTATACTTGATTGACTAACAAAAATTGAAGGTTTGTTTACGCAATGAGATCAAAATTTTGAACTTAGAAAAATTAGCAAATATTTCTTAAAAATTAGTGCTAATTTTACATATAACACTTACATAGCACCTGAAGACAAATAACACTAACCTTAAAAATAACTATTTTCAGATATATTTACAAATCCAACAAATTGACGCTTTAAGACATAATGCCATGCACCACTAGTTAATTTTTTAATTACTACACCTATTAGTAATAATTAAAACAAGTCAAATGTCTTTACAGGCATGAAAACGGTCAAAAGTGTTATTACATTAGCCTATGAAATAAATTGTACAATAAATGTTTTAAATGAAGACATTTTCTCAATAAAGCTAATACAAAAAGCTAACAATTGATAGTAATTAACATTGAATGCAAAAACCTTAATTTCCTTTTAAAAAACTATGCGAACGATACTGCAAGTACTAAAAATATTATAAATAGGAATTAAAACCAAATACACCGACAGAGGGAAATTGTATATACTATTATACTTATTAGCAGCCGAATTTCCTATCTTAACAATGCATCATTGTTGATCTATGTTTGTTTAATTTATTGCTGTTTTCATACGTTCTACTTCAGTTGGTTCCCGAGTCTTGCGGGCATCACATCAAAGGCGTGTCAACCCCAGCGCCAACGCAATGGGGTCGACTAGCCGCATGTTGCGGATGCCGAAGAAAGCAAGACAGTTTTGTGTAAGTGGGATTTTAACGCTTGTGCTTGGGTGAAGCCATGACCGAGTGCGATAAGTGAGTATTGCATTTTTAATATATTGGTCTTCATATACGCGGTATTAATTTTGCCTTAGAATGTTTTTACTGATTCGGACAAAAAAGTTTGAAGCTGATTTTTTGTACATAGATATGACAAAGTGGTGATGATATAGTCGATAATCAATTTTATGTTAATTAAAAAATGTGGACTTACGTTTCAAAGCATTTTTTCATAGATTCATATTGTGCAATTATTGTGCGAGACTTCAGTTATGTCACTCTAATGTCAAAATTTTAATTGCACTTCAGCAATTTAGTTTTAACGATTCTTAAAACGACACTGGATGATTGATACAAGACATTTTGAGCGTGGAAAAATAAATAAATTTATTAAAACCAGTTTTTTCTTAATATTGTGGAATTTATATTAATTTGTCGACACTTTATGACACCGTGACAATCGCGCACCTTAACAATTATCACACATGTGCCGCATCCTAACATAAAACAAAGAAAACCACACAAGTCAATAAAATCTGGTAAAATTGTATTTTCTTGAATTTTGTTCGATTTATATGTATTCAAAATGAAAAATTCTTTTATTTAATCACCATAACAAAACTTTTTTAATTAATTCACCCGTCATTTTTGACATGACATATTACAATCACCAACTTCAAGATAATTCATTAGCACTCGTCTCATTCGTCGAAGTGAATGCAACCTGAACTTAACGCAACGAATCACGTAGTTTGCACATGGAGATCGTTAATCGGCATTGTTAAGGTTAGTTTTAAAACTCTTTAAATACGGTTCGTTATTAGACTTAAATTAAGTGAAACACGCAAAAACGATATGTACTTATGATACAGGTAACAAAAATAACATTTCTGTAAAGTAAATAACAAACACCACACTAAATTGTCTCAATGAACTATCTTTACTATATCTATTTGGCTGTAACAAAGAAAATCTATTTTTCTTGTGCGGCAAGGTAATATAGCAAAGCATCACAGCCTGTGAAGTCATTTTAATTATACTATGCAATTAAGCTATTATTTCAGTGCCCTACCTCATATATTAGTATACTTTATTATACTCTAAGTTAAAGTTACGTGCTTAAGGAAAGCATTCAAATAAGTCGACCTCATTATAATAACACTGTTTATTATATATTATATGCTTTTTTCTTGTAATATTATGTTCATGTGTGTATTAATACTAGTACAAATTACTTTCCATGTCAGTCACAGTTACTTCAAGGGAAACCTTACATGCTTTTATACAACGGTGATATGTCATCATTGGAAGTTCACATGTCAAATTATTCAACAATTCAATTATTCAACTTAATTCAGTGTAAGATATTTCAATTCTTCATGTAAGATTTCCACCATTTTGGTCATGCATATTTGTGCTTTGTATTAAAGTATCTACTCAACGTAATATCTTACAAAAGTTTCATAATAAATATTACATACTTAAAATTGCCATGATATATTATTTTCTTCTTTCTTTCACAGCCCGAATATTCGCCGTACTTCTAACTTGGTTCCAGTGAGAGCTAGCACCTTCTTCAAAGAATCAGTGGTACCAAGACCCCAAACATCCATTGTCGCACGTGACATGCTTGCAATCCTAAAGGACGTAAGTGGGCATTATATAATTGATAATACTTTGTGTATATATATATATATGTATATATATATATATATATATATATATATATATATATATATAAACCTATTTAAACAGGCATCCATCCAGATGATAAACATAAAGAAACTAAATTATGTTTCTTAAAGTAAATTTAATGATCCATACGTTTCAGAGCTCCAATTTTACTCTTCTCAATAGATATGTAAGTCTAATTGTATATATTAGTAATTACATTAGATTCAATTAGTTATATTACTATGCGCACTGAAGAAAAGTCAAATTGGGACTCGAAACATATGGACCATTAAATTTACATTAATAAACATAATTTAGTTTTTTTTATATTTATCTGGGTGGATACCTGTTTAAAAAGGTTTATGGTTTTATCAACACACACACACGCACACACACACACACACACACACATATATATTATTATTATTATTATTATTATTATTATTACTGATTACCTTCCTCCTGAAAGGGAATGTAGAAATTTCCAATAACTTGGTCTAAGATTAGTTGGTTCTAATACTGCACAGTGAAATAAAATGGCAGTGCTAAAGCAATATAAAAATATAGTAAACCCAGGTACTTCTCGTACAAATCCTTTTAAAACTGCTATATTATAGGAAATCTGAAAAATTATATCATTATAAACATAAGGTCGAGAACAAATCATAAATTAGATAGTAAAGAAGCTTACATGAAGCATTTTCCACATGACGTATAATGCAATGTTATTACTTCGGTATTTACCAAATGCTAATCCTGCTAAAATACCTGCAGGTAAAGCATGCTCTGGCCTATCTTTCCCTGAGATCCACCTCAAAACACAAGATGATAACTGAAAATTTTTAATTCATGATTTCCAAATTCAAATACTTATTGCAAAATGAATTGTATAATCTTACTCTAAAAATACCGGTAAATCCACCAAGAAACATTGCTAAAGAATATGATGATTTGTTGAGTATTATATTTGAAATTTCTTTGGGCCTTCTAGCGATTGTTCCTATGCGCATGAAAATTCGGAGTCCCAATTGAAAGCATACACCCAAGGAGAACATTTTGAACCATCCCTAGAAAAGAATAGTAAAAGCCACTGGAGAATCAATATTCATCGAGATTGTATAAGTGTTTAAATCAAAAGTTTAGGTAAGTCAAACATATCTTACCTGTGTAACATAATGCATACAACTTGCAGGGTGCAAACAAGTGTTATGCCTTGGTAAAGATTTAATCATTTCATTGAAATGTTTAATGAACTTAATTTTATGCAAGGCAGCTTTTCTATTTTTAATATCACATACTGCTTGTTCACTTTTATTTTTCAATTTATCACTATATCCAAATGCTTCATAAGGACCCACAACGAATCTGAAAACCAAAATCACCTTGAAAATGACAAAATAATTCAATTACATTTTTGTCTATTTACTTTGAAACAAGTCCAAGTTGATCTTTGCTCAAATAGTCGTTGCTTCTATAATAATACATAAGAATAGCAATGCTCATGGAAAAGATTCCCACTTCTCCATATTTTATAGATCGGACATATCCCCTAGACTTTAACATATTCCAAACAGTTTCTGTTGCTTCATTTGATACATATAAACATAATAAATTTCGTCTAGATGGCCGTTCTAGTAATATTGCAGCAAACGATGCAAGAAACGAAGGCACGTATGAGACTGTCAATATATTGTAATTGCCACAAACTTTTCTGAAATAATAAAATAAAAATATTGAGTAACATTGTTTCTGTGGGTTATATGAATTTGATTAAACAAACCTGAGAAAACATAAAAACATAGGGAATGTAAAACCATTTGTCGTTAAAAATGCTGCAGATTGTAGAATCCCCAGAAAAGTCTTTCTTAAGTCCGATTTATTTGGTACTTTGCCTCGCATCAATAGTCCGACCTAAAATCAGGAAATAAACCATAAATAATTTGTGGCCATGCCGTTTGTAACTTTAATATCATTCGATAAATAGAACTCAATAGTATAACTTTCTCATAATTATATATATATTTTGTGGCATGA